GGGGGGCAGAACCACCAGCAGCGCCAGCAGCAGCAGCAGCAACTAAGACCAGAGGAGGAGCATACTGCCAGGAATGGTGAGGTTGTTGGGGCAGAACCTCGACCCGGAGACCAGAATGATTCCCAGCAAGGACAGCTAGAAGAAAACAATAATCGATTTATTTCAGTCGATGAGGACTTCTCAGGAAACCAAGAAGAGCAAGAGGAGGATGAAGAACATGCTGGTGAGCAAGATGAGGAGGAGGAGGAAGAGGAGGAGGAGGAGGAGATGGACCAGGAGAGTGATGATTTTGATCAGTCTGATGACAGTAGCAGAGAGGATGAACATACACACAGTAACAGTGTCACGAACTCCGGTAGTATTGTGGACCTGCCCATTCACCCACTCTCCTCCCCGTTCTATACAAAGACTACAAAAGTGAGTACGCTCAACCGTGTTAACCTGGGGCACTTTACGTGTCTGTTTTAATGTAATGAAACTTTTCTTCTCAGTCTTTGTATTGCAAATTAATCTTCAGATATGCAATAATAAAACAAACTAATTTTTGCTTGACAGAAGGTATTAGGAAGTATTAAATACTGAAATACCAATAATGGGACAGTCTTACTACAAATGGAGGGAAGGTAACTGATGTTGCTATGAAAAATCATTAACATCAAATTTTCTTCTAAACTTTGCTGCCACGGTCGGGGTTAGTAGGTTGTGTGGGATGCAGAAGGTTGGAGTGAAATGTCATTTGTGTAAATCAAGTAACGAGTCTCGTGTTATGTACAAAGTGCAGCCCGTGGTGGGGGCTGTGTATACAGGAGTGTTACTCCAAGGTGTAAGGGACTGGAAGTTGTCTCAAATTAGTTCTGGTTCTTTGTTTATCATTTGAAAATTACATAGACGTCACAAATGTCCATATAGCATAGACTTAACAGTTAGACTGTACTTTGGAAAGATACATTTTAACTTGAATAATAATTTACTTATTTTATAGACATGTACATGAACAATGCATGTATTTTATACTCTGCTTCCTATTTACATGTTTTCAGAATTTTCAAAGAAATACTGATTTAGCTCATAGGCAGTATATAAACAGATTTAACATCATCTTTGACCTAACTTATCCCAAAATAAGGTATCTTACACACTTAGATTAATACTTGAATTGCTAATTTGACTTGTACAATTTAAACTCTTTAAAAAGTATATTTGTCCCTAATTTCCCTAGCTTATTTGCAGATTTGGTTTATTTAGGTGGTGTAATCTAAGAAGGAAAGGGCATCAAGTCATGCTTTTCATCCATTTTACCATCCCCGTCTCAAGATGTCGAAGCAGTAGCTTTGAACCTCAGCCAGGTGGCTTACCACCAGCTACAGCCCCATTTTGTTGCTAAGGCTCAGGCCGTTTACAACGCATTCCCCCAACTTCTAATCCTGGTCTTTTAAAAATTTGTAATAGGGTGTGTGTGCTAGCTGAGGACAGAGCGAGCGAGTGAGAGAGAGAGAGAGAGAGAAAGTGAGAAAGCACCCTCCAGTGGGAATGGCCACATCACACTTCCTTGTCTGTTCTCTTCTCTGGGTTTTGGGCATGCGTACACATGCACCCAGTGTGTTTCAAGCCCCTTGGTCTGGGACTTAGCTACGCCGATGGCCATGTGGGACCCAGCCACCTCAACCACTTAGCCCTGGCTGACCCTCTCTTGGTCTTATATCACTCCCTCAAGGTGACTGTATCGAAAGAGGGAGTTTACAGCTCTTCCCTTTTCTTTGAGGGTTCAGTCATGTGGCTCAGTAGTTAAGTCCAGTTGCGTTACCCTTTTTTTCTTTCATTTTACGTGGAGTCTTGCTCTGTCATGATCCTCCTGCCTTAGTGTCTGTAGTATCTGTAACTACAGGCATATCCCACTGCATGTGGTTTTTAGGGTGCACTGGAAATTGAACCCAGGCCTTCTGTGTGGCCTCAGCTTGCCCAGTAGGAGTGTTAAGTCAGTGCCCTGATGCAGCTGGGCCCAACTGCATTGTCTTATTCTAGAAAAGAAGTTTGATCAAATCTGAGCCTTGCTGAATAATCCAGAGCTATTGCTGATTTCTACAGTACTTTAGAGTAAAAAGACAAAAAAGCTAGCGAGACAAAACATACTCTTTTCCAAAAGGAAAAGTAATTACAATATTCTGTAAGAAAATGTTTAGTACACAGGTTTAACAGGTGTTTATGTTTTCTTCATCTTCAGGTTGAAGTTGTAAACAGAACTTTTAGGTTTATCTTATATGATTTTATAGTTACCTCATTAAAAACAAAGTATACTAAATTTAAGTTTTTGTAGTGATTCCGAGTCATGAATAATAATTGCGTGGTGTATCCAAGAGGAAAAGAGTAGACTGGGAACTTAACAAAACCACACGGATGTGTATGTACACGTTTGTGTGTATGTGTGTGTCTCCATGTTCATACCCTTTCTTCTGTTGTTTACTATGAGGTCATTTATCTTCATAAACGTGGCACTGAGAACATGAAGCCGTGTGATTGCAAGGCAGGGATACCTTTCTACGAAGGAGTTTAATCTGAAACTGGCCCACGTGTTTTGTTTTGTTTTCTATTGAAACACTTCTTCAGGATCGTTCCCAGAGTACTTTATTTTTCAACATGAACAAAGTCACCTTTTACTGTATTACTTAAAAAAGAAAATGCCAATCACTCATGTGATTTAAATATGGTAAGTGCACTAATTCAAGTTCATGATTTGGGAAGAACCTTTAAAATCCTGATTATAAACATAAGGCACTTCTGCAGACCTTACCCCAGGCCACAGTTTCATTCAAGTCTTAAAGTTGGACTTTGAAACAAGAAGAGGTATCATTTTTAAAGTAGGATTAATTTTTACTTTGGTTTTATTTTTGTTGCCAGAGAGAGGAAGAAAGCACTTCCCCACCCCAAAATGAGTGTGTTAACACCTCAGTTGTTCTCCTTCCTGTCTCCACCCTGTAGGGATCTGGGTCACACATACGTTCATCTAGCTTGTAAAAATCTCATTTTAAAATGTTAATATAGGATTACCGTCTGCAGTTTCACCCAGCATATCTTTCAGTTTGGAAGTCTCCTAAACAAATGCTGTGGATAGGTAGACTTATTTATACATTATTCTTGAGTATGCTACATATGCAAATATGGTAATATCTATGAGCAAAAAAAGTTAGTTCTTCCTTGCATTCGTTTATTTTTCAGCATATTGAAAACTGTCAAAACTGTGAAGACAAATTGTTTTCCCCAGTCATTAAAAATGTGTTTTTAAGCCAACCGGTAGCAAATATATTTGTTAGAGATTCCAGACTGTCTAATGTAAAAAAGTCAAGGGAGTGGCAGTCAAGAATTGCTGTTCGTTAAGCCCATACTATATGCAAGGTCCCATGACAGATCAATAAACAGAAGTTACGGAGGGGCCAGTAAATTGAGGATTATGGTAAAAGTGAGCTCCTGTGGCTCTTGAATTTTTTTTTAACCATGTTTAGTGCAATATCAAAAACCTCAAATGGCACCATAAAGTTTTTGTAACAACTTATCCGTTAGCATATAGGAAAGAGAATGTGAAGTATTTGAGTTAATTCCACTGTGCCACAAAAAGCAATTGCATCGTTATCAGTGCATGAATTGATATACCTGTAAATAAACAAGTTTTTCTTTTAAACATTATCTTTTTTTTTTTGATGTGTAGTGTTAATAATATATATAACTTCTACCGCATTTTGTATATATAACAGTATTGGTATGGGTGCTGACAGGTGATTCATCTTTTAACAGATGACGTAAATCTATAGTATCAACAAATACAGTATTGTCAATGTATATTCTCTCCTTTAGGATTTTCTTACTATTGTCTTTCCTCTAATTATTTATTATAAAAATTCAGTATTTAATACACATAACATACAAAGTGTGTGTTAATCAGTTATGTTATTGATAAAGTTTCCCATCAACAGTAGGCCATTATTGGTAGTTAAATTTTGGGGTAGTCAAAAGTTATATGCAGATTTTGGGAACCAGCAGTTAGCGTAATGGCTATGTCGCTGGACTCCCACGTAGTCGACCGCGGTTCGTGTCCCGGACCCGGTGGCTTAAAACTCACGCCGGGCGCGTGTGCGTGCGTGCCCAAGATCCCGAGAGGAGAATGGAGGAGAAGGGATTGCGGCGTGACCATCCCCCCTGGGGGGTGATTTCTCGCTTTCTGTCTCTATGTCTCTCTCTGTCTGTCTGGCGAGCGCACGCACCCTACAGTGAAAATCTCTCCAAAAAAAAAAAAAAGTTATATGCAGATTTTCAACTGTGTGGGAGATGGGTACCCTTAATCACTACATTGTGGAAGGGCCAACTGTAAATATTTATTAAAATACAAACAGTCAAAGAAGTTATGTACCTAGCTGGAAAGGAGGAGCCTATGACCTTTTCTTATCTCTAGGTTCCAAACAGAGGAATCAGGTACAAGGAGCATTGGCTAATTAAGGGGATCAAAATAACGGTTTGTGTTTGGTCCACCATTCTCCAGCCAACCAACCCCTAGAACCAGGACTCTTGTGAAACTTGGCAGGAGATCTTTGCTAACATCTGAAATCTACCAGGGCTGTAAAGTTCCATTCTGTTCTAGAGTTCTAGAGAATGACTGCCTCCTCAGAAAGTCCCTGGCCTACTCTGCTTGTAAGACAAAAAAACTTATGTTCAAATTCTGTTTGGTATAGACATGTCCAGAGATCAAAACGTACAATCATCTTAAATAACATCCTCTAGTAAACATGACCCAGTGAATAACCACGTCTCTTACCTTTGTGAAGGAAGAAAAACTACAAACATCTAGTGTTAAACACTGGGAGAGGGTGATGAAAATGCAAGAGAGGGACTCCAGGAGTGTGGTGGGCTTTCTCTGGCAGAGCCTTTCAGATCTGAGCTCAGATTCCAACTATGCCCTTACTATACAGCCATAAGTATGCAGTCTCATTGAGCCTGTGTCCTTACCTATTGTATAAAATAAGACTCTCATGTCTGCTTTTTATAAGGATTACAAATCCATATTGAGCGTCCCTAATCCAGTAATCTGAAATGCTCCAAAATCTGGAACTTTTAGAGTACTGATATACCGCAAGTGGAGAATCCCACATCTGACCTTACGTGACAGGTCACAGTCAATAGGCTAAATACAGAAGTTTTGTTTACAATTACCTTCAGGTAATATATATAAAATATGTGTATGAAACATAAGTGAATTTTGTGTTAAGACTTGGCTGATATTATGTATATGCAAACATACCAAAATCTGAAGAAATCCCAAATGCAAAACAATTCTCGCCCCAAACATTTTGGGTAAGGAATAATCTCTATAGACCTGTGACCTCATTTTGTTTATTTCCTATGTTTTAATGGTCTTTAAAGTTCAGTTATCA